CGTGTGCTCCTCCTGAGGCGTGAGGTACGCAGTGGCTCAAGCCTCAAAGCCGTGAAGACCAAGTCGCAAGCGATAGAAGGCAGCGAAGAAGGCTTTGACAGCGTCGGTGCGAAGGTTCTAAGTTCTGACAGGACGTCCACGGCGACGCCTAGGCTCTGCCATGCGTTAGCTCGGTCCTCGAAAGAACAAGAACAATCCAACGCCGTCGGTAGAGAACAGCAGCGTATCCCAAACCGGACAAGTTCAGGTACATGAGCTGCAGACGTTCTGGAGCGAGATTGAAGAGAGAAGGGATCGCCAAGATATTCAGCAATTGAACCAGGCGGTTGGTTATTGCGGCAATGGCCACGACAACGGCCTCGATGTTGGTCCTGGTCCTGGATCGCCTACCCGTTATTGCACAGGCAGGCCAGGGCCCAAGAAGAGAGATGTCAATCTGCACTTCTGCAGTGTCGCATGCTAGTTGTTATTGCAACGATGCAAAGCCGCCGTAGCCCGACATTTGTCAAGTGTACGTACCGAGGGAGGAGGAGGAGGAATCGAGGAGTCTAGGAGAGACATGGAGATACTGGCAAAGCCAAGTCACGAGGTGCAGAAACTAACCACGGGAGTGGAAGACCTGGCAGGCCGCAGACCTTACAGGCTCACATACTGTAGCTCCGGAGGCATGGCAGTCCAGGTTCTCACTGGTCTGGTCCGGTCGGCCGCGTCCTGACCCACGGCCGTGGGCGGGACGCAACCTAGCAGTGTGACTTGCAAGCAGGGCTATCTCTTGGCGGAAAAGGATATCTGTCGCTAGCATTGTCCTAGTGGATGGATGATATCCAAGTCATCTATCCTTACAGATAGAGGAGCTGGAGGGTGGACGATGCCGATGAACAATAGCAAGTTGCGGAGAGAGGGGGGACTGTCAATGTCATTGAGATTATGAGTGGTAGGCGGGGAGGGGTGATGCAGTAAGGTAGCGGGATGTGTACCTGGCTGGGTAAGTTGGTTATGGCGGAGGTCGAGGATGGTGCAAGCGTCGTGCATCCGTAGTATACTTGGCTACTTGCGCTTGCGCTGCTGGAAGCCAAACCTTCTTCCCTGGTCGGCTGCAGGTGGGTGTGTGCTAGTATATCTTTCTCATCTCTCGTGCCTTAGTTATCTGCTGGGGGGGCCTGGGAGTATGTATATGGAAGGGGGATTGGATACCTACTGTCGTCACTCTGCGCCTTTTTCGAGCATCATCGTACATGTGCCAAAGGAGGAATATATGAAGCGAGAAAAGGAAGAAGGACGAAGGAAGGAGCGAGCATGTTGCCCGGGTTCAATTGGGCTTACGTGAGTGATGAATGGCAAGGTAATGTACCTACATGAGGTAATGAGATAGAGACGCGGGAAAGATAGAACTGCGTTTTCAGGGCAGGATAAGAAGGAGGATAAGAAGGAGGATAAGAAGGAGGATAAGAAGGAGGAGGAGCAGGAGGAGGAGAACGTGAGAAGGAGAGGGTGGAAGTCACTTTGAACGGCCCCACTTTCCTCCTCTTTGGACAGGCATCCACCAGTTTAGAAGTGACCACCAGACTGCCATAACCAAAAGTCAGCGAACCAACCCCGCCGATGGAAGGAAGTACGGATACGCAGTAGTAAGGTAATCTGGAAGTGTCGACATTGGATGTTGGCAGTTGCTGTAGACTGTACCTGCCCGCGATTGCTAACCTCATCGTTCTTCGTTCCTTCCTCTGGAGTCTGATGGGTTCTTTCTGCTCCATAGACCATCGTTCTTGCAATGGACCTTGAGGTGGTCTTTCAAGAGACGTATCCGGAAGGTAAGGTAGGTAGGTACCTTGGCGGTACTCCTCTTTCTGAGGTGTCTGAGGTGTAATTCGGTGTCGTTGGTTGTCATGCTTGACTTGACACAGTTCCCGTCCAGTCTTCCCGCCTGTCTCTTCTTCACCCGCCCGTTTACTTTTGTGCTCTTTCCTCTCGACAACTCTCTCACGCGCACATAAGATTTATCAGGTACCTTACATACCTACCATATACGCCCACACCCTGCATTCCACCTGATCGGATTTCCTCACAGAATTGTAAGAAGGGAAAGCACTTGCATCCCAAGGTGCCTTCCATTGGGAGAGAGCGCGTAAAGATTTACTGAGGTATCCGCACAACCAGATATCATCAGTTGATGTTCCGTCCCTACAGAGTATAATCCCAAGATAATAGCCCACATATCTGCCCTTTCTCTCTCCGCTTCACCTGAGGGAGTCTCCGTCGGCATCCATACATGGGACATCTCACATTATTACGCAGTATCCGTACGTACAGCTTCTAAGGTATCCGTACCTATGCACACCGCGACATTGGCACTCCCACCCACCAACCACGCACGCACCCCCCCCTCTACCTTTTACACCCCCGGTCGTCCTTCTTCGTCTTCTTCTTCGTCTTCTTCTTCCTCCTCCCCTCCCCCCTTCCCTCCATGGCGGCATGCCCCGGGCAAGTCGAGGTGGAAAAGATGAAAAGGTATCTTTGTAGCGCGCACTGTACTCTACAACCCAGCTAGCACTTGACACCCTGGTCGCACCCCCAAGGGCCCCCGTGGCGACTCTGAGGACTCCGTACTCGAGTAGAGAGGCCCAGGCAGTCCAAGACCGCCACCCCCCCGCCTTTCGTTTTTCCTTAAACTGTCTGGTTATGGCCGCAGCCCGTGCTACCACCTCACTATCCTCTTTTCATTCACTCCGCAGTTCCCTTTCGCCTTATCCTCAATCGAGCTGCTTTTCCCCAACTGACACTTGTTGCTTGTTTCTGAGAGCAGGGGAAATCGCTTGAACCACCAACGACATACGTCCAAGCCGCCCCGATACCGAATCGACCTATCTGTATCCGTACCCGTCTCTTGTCCCCTTTTTTTCTTTTCTGGGGGCGTCCAAGAACCCGTTCTTCGGCTCCGTGGATTCCATCGAAATCCGGACGAGAGAGATACGACATCCCATCCATCTCACCCTTCACCCTTCACCCTTCACCCTCACCCACCCGGTACCTGACCTGACCCGGTCTGGCCTGACAATTGACCCTTGGTCCAACGTCTCTCTCTGGCTCTGGACTCTCGGCCTTACCTTTCCCTCCTGCCCCCCCCTTTCAGGTTCCCCCCAGTCTCTCTCCTCGGTCTTCTCCCCCCGTCAAAAAAGGGATCCCCCCAAAAAAACCCGCCGAGTGACCTCGACTCCTTCTCCCACTACCCCCGACCCAAGTTTCTCACTCGAGTCGCGTTTTTCCTTCTTCTGCGCGGTCCACGGTCCACCCCAACGCACCACGCACCTCCGCAGAAATACCTACACAAATCCGCTCGGCTCATAACCCGCACCGCAGCCAGTTCGTTTCGCCAGGCCAAGCCATCCCGCTTCCGCTGCGAACAAACCACCACCACAATCCACCATCCACCACCTGCTTCCGCTACGCTACCTTGTGCTTGTCTCCAAAAAGACCAGCTTCCTTCCACCACCAACCATCCACCGCGCGCGCGCCTCCTGTCAAAAAAAAAAATAGTCGCCGTCGACTATTGACTATTTGGGACAAATCTTTAGTCTGTCCACTATCCGCTCTGTGGCTACCGACAAGCAACAAGTGCATGTCAGGCACGGAAGCTCCAAAAGTCAAACAAAGCAAATAAAAAATTAAATCAGCAAATTCCTCGCTTCCGTTGGTCGGCAGGGAAAAAAAAAAAACAAAAAAGGTACTACTACACACGCAACCGCGCTATCAGTCGCCCGCGTAACCTACCCACCTACCTACCACCTGCCTTACCAACTCCTACCTGCCATCTTTCTCAATCAGTCAACCTTACCTGCCTTCCCACCTCCACCACACGCAAGGCACCGCATCCGCTCCGCACCAGACTCGATACAGGTTACCTCCCGTTCCGACCTGCCTCCTTCTGCGACAACATCCAAGCTACACACAGCAAGAGCTCATCCACCCTGATCAAGTATAGATCAATCGGCACCACGCTCAAAGCAGTTTCTCCACCGTTTTTACCTTTTACTGCCTTGTGATACCATCCAAACCACCCGCGCACTTGACCACAATGGCCGACATCACCGATCAACACGACCAGACCTCGCCTACCGACCTCGACGAGTCGCAGGTTGGCAACGGCAGCGTCGCCGAGAACAGAGGCGTCAAGCGCCAACGTCCCAGCACCGCCGACGACGACGATGACGATGACGAGAAGGGCGGCCGCGAGCGTCGCAAGATTGAGATCAAGTTCATCAACGACAAGTCCCGTCGCCACATCACATTTTCCAAGCGCAAGGCTGGTATCATGAAGAAGGTACGTCGACACTGCCAATCGCTCCTCATCTGCATCGAGGTCGAAGAAGCAATCCTCCGCAAGATAACATGCTGCTCCTGCTGCCTGCACCGGCCCAATTTTCACTTGTTCCAAATGCTAACCAGATTATCCACTAGGCCTATGAGCTTTCTGTCCTCACTGGAACCCAAGTGCTCCTCCTCGTTGTTTCCGAGACGGGTCTCGTCTACACCTTCACGACACCAAAGTTGCAACCTCTTGTCACCAAGGCTGAGGGCAAGAACTTGATTCAGGTATGCGCTCTCTGCTTCAGCCAACGCAAAGTGAAGGGGGGGAAAAAAGAAGACAAATCTGACTCTTAATGCAGGCATGCCTGAACGCACCCGAGCCCTCCCAAGGCGGCGAGAACGGCGTCGACGACTCGAACCAGGTTGACTCCCCCGAGGAGCCTCCCCAACAGCACCTGCCCCCTCAAGCAGGACGCCAGGGTATGCCTCAATCTCACATGCCTCCCAACTACATGCCCAACGTCGGCATGGATCCTTCTCAGGCGCTCGCCTACCAGAGTTACGTCCAGCAACAACAACGGGGTGGTGGCTACGCCATGCCGCCGCAGTCTGGTCTTCCCCAGCACACGTCGCATCAGTCATGATCGCCAAGTTCATCATGACTTTTGCATTTCCCGTTGATACCAGACACACATCCTGCATCTTCCAGACCGAGCTCGCCGGCATTCGTCATTTCTTCACCCGGCGATGAGGCTCTGGTAGTTTGGCGTTACAGTTCGGTGTTACCAATTGCTGCATCTCGTTCCACTACGTTTTCTTTTTATTTCTCTTGATCCCAATTTCCCTTTTGCTACTACGACTCCGCCGGCATCTCGCAACTCGGCCATCCTGGAATTTGAAACTTCAAGGAACACAGTATTGTGCGATACCGTTATCGCGGAGCGGATTTTAATGCTGTCTAGCTGGGGAAAACACGGGGGAACATAACGAGAGACATGGCGACACTGAGGAGCATGCGATCAGGAGACATGGGGTATGGGTGGCATTACGACGGCGGCGGTCTCATTGAGCGCGGCATGTCTGTGCCTCGCGACAGGCGGCGTGCTGTCTGTGGACGCGAGTTTGTATGGCATCGTTGGCCATTTTTCGTTTTCGTTCATTTTTTCCTTCTTCTCCAGTGGCGGCAGGGGAGGTTGTGTGGTTGAAGAAAACTATGTCTTGCGGAAGCAGGGTAGGGGGGGGTTTCCGGCGCGGGAGGGGGAAATGTTCTTTTTTTCAGCACGAGAGCACGATATCTCACGGCTGGGGCAGGCACATCTTTTTTTTTTTTTTTTGGAATGGACTGTGATGATTTCATTAAAGTCGAGGATCAACGAGGGAGCAGAGAGACGTCCGCGCGACCATTCCGTACGCCCCAGAACCCGTTTTTCTCACTACGCTGCTCTGCGAGGAAATGTCTTTTGGGTTCTTTTACTCCGTAGGACTCGGCACGATACCCCCCGGCCCTGGGCAAATCAACAAGAAGCTACATTCACACTGCACACATTCTCGCCCTTCTTTGCTGCCACCGTCGTCGTTCTATTCAGAGACCCTCGTTGGTCTTCTGGGATACAGGGGAGGGATAACACACACCGAGGGGCCCGGGGAGCGCCGGTTATGAAGAAGGAAGGGATGAAGAACGACATACGAGTTTTAAGAATACGGAGAGGAAGAAATGTCTCTACAAACCTGTATGATAGTATATCCGCGTGTGCGCGCCCCCTTGCGATTATTATTCTTCCCCCATTCACCGTCTTCGTACCAAAAACTACCACTACTAGAAAGTCAGGACCTGACGAATTGCTAATTTTTTTCACAACGTTTTACACCATCTTACGTTGCGCGTGAAGCAGTGCTAATGGGAGAGAGTCTACGATTTGTAAAGGAATAAACAAGCGCTTGCAGGTTCCTAGAGCAGCAAACCATGGGGCAGTGAGATGTCTAGAGAGGTCGTACAGCCAGGCAATCATGCGTGAATTGATCCGAAGTGACATGTGGACAACATTTCGAGGCGTGTAGGTAAATAGGCAGTTAACTGGGTAGGTTGTTTCCGTCGAGTCCAGAACAGAGAGAGAGAGAGAGAGAGAGAGAGAGAGACAGAGACTTTTGCTTACACATCAGATCTTCTACCGACTCCTTCCAAAGTTCCTCCGCTCCCCCCCGACTGCGTCCGTCCGTCCGTCGTCGACGGTGGACGCAATTCCGTTTGCGGACTCGAACAAGCAAAAATTAGACTCGGGTCTGGTTGGGTTTGGTTTGGCAGTGCGCAGTGTCCGTGGCGCATACGTGAAGTGTGGTGTGCCGTCATGGTGACATGACAAGTGATTTAACTCTAAAGGTGAAATGCGAGACACGAAAGAAGGGAAAAAAGTAAACACACACAAAGAGGTGCCGGCAAATAACCTACCTACCTACCCGCTACCCAGAAGGAAAGGGGAGGGGATGTGGGAAGACAAGCCCGGTCATTTTTTGACAGCTGCCCGACAGCATAAGGTGGCGTGGGCTCGATTGTCAAGCGCGCGCAAGGTTTTCGCAACTGATTTTGGCTTCTGTCCTGTCCATACAAAAGGGTTGTGTCATTTCTCCTCGGAATTTCCTAATTAATTCAAGCTCGAGCGGACACCAAGTACGAGCCAACCCCTACCGTCCGGTTGCTTGCTTGGTAGACTTGTTGACAGTTTGACGTCCGAGGGAGGGGTGGGAGAACCTGGGTAAGTTCCAGACCGCCCTTGATTGAGGGAGGTTAATTTGTCGACATGCGCTCTCTTATTCTTGTTCTTGTCATTGTAGCAAAAGCAGACGCTGTCGTCGTATTGGTATGCGGTTGAATAACCCGCCGACAACTTGCCTGATTAGGTCAAACAGCGTATCTCTGGTTCCATTCGTGGGCGAGTAGCGAGTATCCGTAAACTCACTGCAGACTTTTAAATGGCGGGAACTCGGGATGCAAGGGGCAGGATAGAGATTCGAATGCTGCTTTTGGCCTTCTCGCACGCTGTGATTCGGTGAACGATAGACCCGCTCGTGGCACGGCCGGCGCAACCTAACTGCTGGGCGCGGGTTGTCATTGTCAGTGGACCTACGGGTACTGCCCACCCTCGTGTTTCGCTCGCTGTTACTAACAAGGTGCGCGCTGTCTGAAGTGCACGTCCGCAGCGCGGCTTCGGCGACGGCTAGCGGGGGTCCAGCGGGGAAGTCGAAGAGGGAGGGGGGGCGGCGCGTTAACATGGCGCGAAGAACGACGCACAACCCTCTTGGCTGTCAAAGAAGAAGAGGCTCACGTATATCTCGTCATCGTGGTCGGTCTCTCCCGTCAGTCGAACTTGACTTGACTTGTTTCTGGTGATACAGTGTGCAATTGGCCAGAAGAATCGTATTCGACTGGTCGGGAGAGTGATACTGATCAAATCCTGATGTGTCACATGCGCATCTGTGTGCTTCAACTCTTTTCTTTTGGCCTTTCTGCAGCGGGCTAGATTCGACATATTTGGAAAGACGCGTTTCCCAGCTGTGAGGTTCCAGCTGTGAGGTTTCCTGCCAGGCAAATGTATGTCTGCTGTTCATGGTGGGGAAGGTCCTGTCTGGATTCGGATGTGAGCAGGGACAGCTCGTTGCCTTTTTGGGCCTGGCGGGCTTGACGGGATTTGCGGCGAACCGGTCCGCTGCAGTTTCAATGTGATCAGATCTAGATCTAGCCGGACAATTTCTGGAGCTATTCCAACCTTTGCCTTGTCTGCTAGAGTCCGGGGCCGAGCATCTATGCAGTAGTTTTTGGTCATCTGCGTAATCTCGGAAACGGCACATAAGGCTGCATATCGGTCAAACTTGGATAACAGCCCAGCCCTCTGTCTCTGTAGTCCGTCGACAAGGATGGGCACGGAAGAGGTTGATTTTGAGTTGACAGGGTCGGCGACCTCTTGGGCGCTTCAGACAGGGTTAAATGCCGAGCTCCAAGGGCCCATTACCATGACTGGGCTGGATGCCGGTCCCGAGGTCAATTCCTAGAATACGGGAGACATCGCCGCCGGTTGAGCCAGTAAGAAGCGTAGCAAGCTTCCAGCTGATATGTGAGCTTGTCTTGTTTGTTTTCTGGTGGTCTAGGGCTTTTTGGTATCGTCGGATATTGCAAACATGGACTGATTCTCCTAGTGTTTGAGGAGATGGTGTCTAGGATGGTCTCCGCGCTCTCCTCCGCGTAGAGTCCCGTTCTCGATAGCACTCGTCTTCTCGTAGTGAGCCTAGGCTGAGTCCTTGTTAGTCCGGACAACCAAGAACTTTACATCGTCCCAACTACTCCTCTTTGAGACGTACAGAGAGAAGAGACGCCCACAAAGTCCCGAGGCTCGAAGATGATCGCTTTGTATTGCACAGTGCTCAGAGTTGAGCTGCGTCTCATTGCTAATAATTGCCCATCTCCGGGGTTAGAGACAGATATCGTGGACTCCGGGTAAAGCGAGAGCCCCGCACAGCCACGGCGCTCCCGTCGTCTGTTGTCGTCTCCGTAGTGAATTGTGACCCGATTGGAGCGTGGTGGTCGAGATGCTACGGATGGCAGGGTTCAACCGACTTATGCTGTATTGGACAATTCAAGCTTGCGTCGTGACATCCAAACATAGTCTTCCGGCGGAGTTGGTGGTGCAGATATATCTTGCTTGTCTCTCGGTTTCTGACACTGGTGCTAGCAACGCCGGCGGCAACCTCGTAATTGTCTTGGTCATTCAAAGGTCTGCCGTAGAGAAGAGGTCGTCGAGGTAGAGCGTCGATACATTTTGCCCGTCCCATGTGGAAATTGCCGTACCCCTCTGCAAGATGGCCAGGAACGAAATTTGACTGGAACGGAGCATCGGAGGAGTGAAACTTCGAGGTCCGTCTGGAGGGAAGCTGTTCAGATGAAACGGGCAGAAACAAGCTTCGTGGAAGGACGGGTTCTTTGAAGAGTGCGGAATTGGAGGAAACACTCCACATGCTCAGGGCTGCCATGCCACGCTGGGTGACGTCGACTCTGGGATCGCGACTCGAGATGCCAGGGCGCAAAGGGAGGATGCCTGCTGATCAACCATAAGAACGTATCCGTACTCGCAAAACATGTGATTGGGCGTACAGTCGACCGTTGATGTACGAATAGTCCTAGAAGACATGGACGGGCTGCTGATCTTATCGTTCGTCTTGGGTTGCACGGGTTGCTACCCCTCAAATTGGATCCTGCGTGCCTGTCTGGCTTAGTGATGCCCTTGCCTAGGGACAGAATTTGCGGGCTGACAAGCTTTAGCCGCCACCAATTGTATATTTGGCCGAGTGTTGCGGACAACTCGGCATGCGGCTCCTTTTTGATTCGAATCATTTGATGTTCGAAGACTTGACTTGGGAGAAGCGGGAAGAGGGTGAGTGGACGGCTTGGGCGATGTGGCACAGCAACTGAGGCACCATGGGCACCTACCTACTCCGTACCTACCAACGGTAGGCTTGCTTGGTGGCTTCCATGGTGACTGGTGGCTAGGTACGTCTCACTTCGCAGGAAGGACGGAGGCGACGGACTGAGGGAGTTTGAGAAGGTTTCTGCACGGGCCAGAAAGGGCGCTAGGCACCCTTGTACATGTACTTGCTGCGCTATCACCACACGACCGAAGGAGAAGGAGGGAATCCCATATTGGGTACCGAATCTGTACACACAGCTTCATTATCAATCGTAGCTGCTTTGGATTTGACAATCGTAGGCTGCCGTTGAGTGTACAATGTTCTTTCGTGCGAAACAATACAGCGAGTGTAATCTCCAGCCGGAAGTAGCCTGGCAGTTTCCTTCGCATACGATTCAGAAAAAAAAAGAAGAAAAAAAGAAAAAAAGGACGTGTTGTCCAAGGTCTGAGAGATCTGTCGCGTTGTCCATTCCTTCGTGGTCGCATTCCTCGTATCCATATGCCATGATCCAGCATCCGTCCATCACTGGAGTCACCGCATCATACAACAATAAGTGAATTGGGGAGAAAGTTCTAGTCGGTATTGTCTCCGGAAATGCTGCTGATAATTCACTAGTGCTCGCCCATCGTGGCAAAGCGGCCAACAGCGAGACTGCCCAGGAAGACACCACCGAGAACCGACAGGAGATATCCAACATTCATTGTCATGACAGCCAACATCCTGCACGCATGTTAGTAATATTTTTCCCGATAGCAGCGAAGAGAACACATACAGAAGATATCCAACTCCGGCAATAGCGGTATCGATGACAGCCCGGACAGGATCAACGGAGAATCTCCAAGGCCTCCAGATGCCGTGTCCCTTTTGGACGACGGTGACATTCTCCTCGAGGCCGTTCTCAGAGAGTACCATTTGCTTTGCCATGCTGTCCGTTGACATCTTGCCTGCCATGCCGAGCTTGCCATTGACGCTGACGTAGCGGCGCTTGAAGTCCTTGTCCAACCATCTCTTCTCCTGAATGGACTTGAGAGCCAGCATGCCGCGAAGACCAAAGGCGAGGAAAATGAGGAAGATGCACGTGGCGGCGTAAGTGCCAACGCTGTTGGGGGTCCAGGCTTCGGTGTAGAGAGGAGTCTTCAAACTGGTCTGGAAGATGGTCATCATCATCATGCTCATGCTTGAGCCGGTCGAGCCGTGGGTATCATTCATCGTGCCGGAGCCCATATCCATTCCCGGCATGGCATCCGAAGCAGTTGCTGTCCCCGTCGCTCCGTGGTCATCGCCACCGTGTCTTGCCATGAGAAAGCTGTCCATATTTGCAGATATCGTGGCGGAGCGGTCGACGCTGGCGTATGAGAACTGGTAAACAATCGGAGATTAAGGGAGTGACGGTGCGTTTTATGTACGGTTTTACCAGGCTCCAGTCCCGGCCGTGGAGTCAGTTATTATTTAAGATGGGAAGTAAGAGAGAGCGTCGTTGTCCTTCAGATGGATTTGCCAAGGTGAGGGGAACAAGGCGGCACGGGCGATGTTATAGACTGGCAGCGAGAAGGTTTGCGTGGGATCTTCAGACGCTTCAAGCAGGGAAGGTGTTACGCATAAGTCTTCGCGATACTGCGGCGAAACGAGAGTATGTTGTGCATGAATGGGAAGGTGACTTGGCTCGTGCCAAGATGTAGGAGGCGGATGGTCGTGACTTTTTGTTGCTCCTGCCGGAGGGCCTGGAAGCTTGGTTACACCCTGGTGAGACGGGCAACCGGCCATATTCTGGCCTAAGACTGCGTTAGCACCAAGTTGCGGCATCACGCGAGACAATCTGCTAAGGCCAGGAGAAGGAGCTGATACTGGGCATCAGGGAACATCAGGGAACGCCCCTTCGGCAACTTGCGCATGGGTGGAGTTTGCGACGATGCCGAGGCGGGGTCTTCTCCATTCTTCTCTTTCTAATTGGTCCCCGTTCCTTTTTAGTTTCGATAGCCTAAAAGAGCAAGAAGTATCGTTACCTTGCCCTGCTAACAATTTCTTCCAAGAGTGACACCCAAACTCAACCTCCATCCATTCTGCTCTCAAACAAACTGCTCACCGCGTGTCTCGACATCGGCCGTTTTCTCCCCCATTGCGGCGTTGCTCGCCTTTTCTTTTTTCGGTCTCCCACAAAACTTCGAACGAATCACGAGACGAAAGAAGAAATAATGTTGTTGAGTTGAACGTTGTTTGCTGGCTACCCTGTGCCCAATGCAATTGCCTACCTTATTTGGACGTTGTTTCCGTCAATCGCACCCCGAGCCTTACTAGCACGGTATTCTCCGACGGCCTCACGTCTCTATTTCCAAATATAGCTCTTCAACACGATATCTATAATTGATCGGAGACAGCAGCATGGGCCACTGAGCGCGAAAGTTCCAGGCCAGCCGTGGCTCTGTAAGTGCTCAATCGCAGTTCCTGAACAGGGGTTGATGGTTCGACGGTCTTAGACGGAGCTCCTTGCCGGCCACCTCAACTATAGTGCTTGGCAGAACAGACTTCAGCCCAACACGTCTCCAAGACTCTTCGAAACGACTCTTGCGGCTCATGTTGTCCACAAGAGCTGACTACGTTGTCTCAAGTGTCGCTGCCGAGCCCAGAGTTTGGTATTTCATCACATTCATCCGAAGTCATCTCGGGCCACCCTATTCTCGGCCATCCCAAAGCACCGCCAGGGAAGCTCGTCCCACAATCTCGCCCTGAGCCCGCCAATCGCAACTGCAGTCTTTCGATCTCTGCTCTTCTTTGCCCCAAAATGTGGTTGATCCACCGATGGGCGAGCACGTTTGGCGCTCGACCTGCGCATCATCGCCCCGATACTTCGTCACGCCCCACTTCTCGCGTGCCACTCTGTCCCTGTCGCTCCTTGAGCACGATTGCCGACGATTCTTTCAGGTCCACCAGTATTCGGCCGAGTTTCATGACCCTCGTATTATCTTCAGTAAGCCAGCTCCGTCGAGCTCATGCCCCAGTGTATAGGCAGTTTTGACTGATTCGAAAGAAACCAAGAAATTCCCAGAAGTCAAGATCAGCATGGTCCGAAGCGTTGAGCATACTTAGTTGACTGGCGGATCAACCCAGTAACGCTCATGAACCGGAGAGGTCGTCCGTTAACTATCTCGCTCTCAATGACTCGATGTATCGAGTATTCGGCAGGTTGAATCGAAACCCTCAACGACGTAAACCACGATATCGCCAGCACAGAATCGATGATAGTGAGCTTCGGTCACCCGCAAAGGCTTTCACCTGGGAGCAGCCTGCTTCTATACGTTGCCATATCGATGTCAGATGCGACTCTGGGCGGCAACTGATGGGTTCATCTGCAATGATCCTTGGAATGCGCGACGTCTGTCAGTGTGTCAGTGTTTTCGAACCTCGAGATCCGGAAGCCGTGTCTCAGAGGAGAGGGTGTGCAAGAAGTCTGGACACACCTCAACTCTATGCCGCAGCCACTTTCAAGGCAGACCGCGTCGGTATATCGTGTCGTCACAATTGCCAAAATCCCCCGATAGCTAGCGGTTGGCATTGTTCCACTAAACTATATTGAGAGGTAACTGCAGCCAGGTTCCACGAGTATGTTCGACCTCTTCGGTGGAAATGGTAGTAACTACCACGTCGATGGGAACTTGAAGTTTGCCGGAAAGGTCGTTTCTTCTGGAGCCAAGAAGCTGTACTCTTTTATGCTGTTTTGCTGCCATCACACTAGCATTTGTTTACGCCTCAAGACTTTCCTGTCCTATGGTGTCAGATTGCTCGCAACACGAATCTCGAATGATGGCATGAGAAAACGCACATGTTTGATCTTCGAGCTCCCGGATCCAAGCCAGGTGTCGGGCAAACCCTGGATCGCAGTCTATACGCTCCGGAAACAAGACCGCGAAGTGAGAGGCTTCATCCAATTCTGGTCATGATTCGAGATGCAACTTCAATGCTTGCGCGAGGTCGCGTCCACGGGGGCGCGTGGAGACTGCAACTTCAGAAGCAGGGATCACCGGTGATCATTGACCCGAGTCCAATGCAACCCTAGCGACACCGAGATTAGTTGAAGTCTTGCGATAGTTCTCGCTCGCCAGCACAGAGTACTTTAAACTGCGTCTGTTTCTCTTTCGAGGATTTACGTTAATGTCCTACGATGGCATGCAGCTGCCCGTGAGCGTCGGACGATTCCAGTAAGCGCTGAGATCTGTCTGGCTCAAGTTTACGGCCCACGTTGACCCCGAGGCCTGGCCGACATGCGGATCGGCTGGTATGCTTCGGTTGGGGGCTTCCGTGCCTATCTGCCCCTGGCCAAGGGGAAATGATCTGCACCAAGCCGCAGAACCATCCACGGAGATTGAATGGTTGAAGGCAAGGCTGGTCCGGAACAGGACACAGGGCATTCCCCAAGCTGCATCCAACCCAAATCGCGGGGCCGGGCCGGGATCAAGGGGCGACATCGCAAGTTGCCGAGCCTAATTCGACGACTTGCAACGGACGCCCTTGCTAACTCCTCCACCATTATCAAAGTCCGCGTCTGCTCTGTTGTCAATCATAACCTAGCCATCGAAAGCCAGCCTCTGACGCATGGCTATCAATCTTCGTAGTCGCCTTTGGCCGTGGAAACGTTTAGCGGAAACAGGCGACGTCCGAGACGTCCAGCAATTGCGACTTCCGAGCTACTTACGCGATCAGCAGTTCGAAATACTGGAACCGAAGACCCATGTGGGGTTTGGCTCGCCTACTTGAGCATGGCCACCTTCAACCACATATGGTATGCGCGGAGCTCGACTACCTAGCATTCGATCCTAGACTATCTCGACCACTACCCATGGCAGAAGCACCGGCGCAAACTTTGGGAATTACTTCAACACTGTGTGTGTTGACCGCGCAACGTAGACGTCTGGCCTCTGTCCGGCATTTTGGTACAATGGATTCACAATAACCAATATATCCGTACTCAATGTCGTGTAACATCAACGGCAACGATCTTGCAGCAACCGCGTTCTCTTCCACAAATCGGCACAAGCCTAGGGACATGGGTCTTTGCCTCAGAAGAGTATTGCGTATGATCAACTAACAAGTCGAACCATTGTACAACAGTCATACCTCAGACCAATCGGCAAAGGGGTGCATAGTAGACGTGGTCTTGCTTGCTTACTATGGATGCCACGTATGAAAGGGACGTCAGCTTCGAGGGATCTCTGAGTGTCAGGCAGGGAGGCATTTATTGACATCTCTTTCCAGGTCGAATTCGCACTTGCAATCAATTTCAGCAACGACGAAAACCATCACGCCAATGACTTCAGAACAATCTATTCCGGCCGAATGTTAGTCTGCGTCCAGACGTTCAGCCGCTGCCGCTTCGAGGCTGCCGCTAGGCTCGAAGAGGAACCGGAAGACCAGCCTTGAGGCGTTCTGCTCGGGCGCTGATCTACGCAGGAGCATTCAAAAGACTAGGTATCACATCGGGGGCCATTGGAAACGAGATTGCACTTCAGCCCACCGATACCTCCTCCTACCTATTTACATCCTACCACACGAGCATTGCTTACGTGGCGCGGCTAGGCATGCCCTCTTTACGTAGTACCAAGGAGGCTGACAACGTCCTGGTTCATCCCACTTTCTCAAGATTCGTCGCAGCCGAAGAAGACAAGCCTTTTTCTATTCCACAATGAGGAGTGCAAGAACGATAGAAGAGAGCACGAGGACCGTCCGCCATCAACGTCCGCCATCTGACCGACATGCTGGACGTATTTCTTTTGCCGACTCCCTTCCCCTCTCTCTCTATCCAGGTGGACGAACTACGTACGGCTGAGGATGCTTGCATCTTTGGTGCAATCAAGCAAGTGACTCGATTGCCAAGGAAGACGCACATATGCGACACTCCAAGCTTGGCCAGTCAGGTGGTCAAACCACTGAAAGCTGGGTGAGATGATGCCTATGTCTTTCCGGACACCCACCCTCACGTATCCTGGTGAGTAGGACAAAGCAAGGCAAAAGGAGTCAATGCGGTTGGTCGGCGAATCTTCGCCACTTATAATTCAACAATTTCCGTTGAGGGGTGTTTCCCACCCTCTCCAAAGCGTCAAATGAATTGACGGTCTATCTTCAGTAGCGTTGATACCAGGCCTTGTCAAACAATCGGTGCACTCCATGAGGTTGACCAGTGCTCTCAGGTGTGTTACCCGGCTGCAGCTCGACGACCGATTCTCATCGAATCCGCATGCTCAAAGTGGAATGGCTTCTCTGACCTATGCACTAGTGGTGCCGCCGGCTCTGAGAGAAAGGGGGAAAAGGGGAAGGGCTAGAGGTTCCCCCAGGGGGGGCGCCTCGCACACCTTCGCCAGCCCATCGCGTGGGAGTGACAGGAATGCTTGTCCATGGGCTCCGCCCTACCACCCTACCTTACTCTTACTCTAGTCTTTACCTCTCCTCCCCCTTCTCATTCCACCCTCTCGCGTGTGTGTGTCTCAGCTCACGTCAGGTTCTCGATTCAGCTCCGCAGCCGGATCGCTTTCACCTGCCCCGCTACTCTACCCCCCCCCCCCCCCCCCCGCTTGCTTGGCTTTGTTCTCCATCAGGCCGGAGCATTTCGAACTGGCCATCACGGCTGTGTACGACAGGATGAGCCAAAGTTGGAGCGCAATCAATACTTTACCAGCTCCGGACTGGGACAACCTCTCTGGTACATTGAATCTTCGTTGCGCGATGGAGCCGAGCCCATCAAGCTGCACACTGTCCGCAGATAACCGACATGCAAGGGAGTCTAGACTCTTCCGTATTGATCGCATATAGCTTCTAGGTCAACTTTGCGTATCTTTGACGAATCCCCAGCGGGATATCCAACAGCGGGATATCCAACAGCGGGATAACGTGCAACAAACTTTCACGGATACTCCGCTCCTCAGGCCAGCAAAACGCTCACCATCTACGACGCTAGGATCACTCTACACCTGTCGCCACTGTCATCAAGATACTGACTTAAGCTTCGTGACTGCAGCCTTGGAACACGGCGGGCGACTCGTGTGCAACATGAAATACGGAAGGAAGGGGGAAAGTGCAGAGACTGCTCGTGTCACGACTGCACCGTGTTTCTCCTTCCATCCATTCCCGTTCAACAGCGTCCTCTCGGACAGTTTTTCTGCCGGAACGAGGTTAATACCGAAAAAAGACGGCTGGCTGACGAACATGTGGTTTGCTTCCCCGGCGATCGACTAAGGAATCCCCAACGCAGTCACACAAGCAACGTCCTCCTTTCGTCAGAAGCATCCCATCTTTCTCATTCTTCTTTGAAAGAGGAGAGTCCCGAAGAGCAAACTTGACCCAAAAGAGCATGGAAGGAGGGGGGACAGAACTGATCTACCTACTGCGCGTTAGGGGTGGTTCCCCCATGTCATCTGATGTTTTGAGTATAGCGCGCGGCGGCGGCGGCGCCCAGCGCCTCTTTTTTTTCCTATGTTTTTTTTGCAACTGCAGAGAGCGAGAGACCGACACCTGCCATCCCATCCTTTTCGCTCTTCTCTAATGCGGCCGTTCACGCACGCCAGCACGTTCCCTCACGCCCAAGCTCCAGAGAGCAAACGAGAAGTGAAGAAAAAAAAAAGCCAAAAAGCCAAAAGTAAAAAGGTACACCCCCATACGCCCTCCCCGCCAGCCTCGTCCGTTCCGTTCACGCCATCCTTTTTTTCCCACACGTTAGTCTCTGCACGTAATCCTCCACTAGGCCAGGGCTCTAATCTGCCTTTGGTTCGGATAAGGTGAGGGGGGGAGGGGATGAATAAGAAGTCGATTCGACCATTTTCGAGCATTGACAGAAAAGTCTAGATTACTGTTTTGACGGGCCTTACGTACAGCTGTGTTTCTGATGATGATTTCTTGTCGGCTCACTTGTTGACATTCTCAATTCGAGAGAGTGTGGATATGCCATGCTCTGTGGACGTCTATTCCCCCTAATTCGCCGAGGTGGTCTTCTGTTCTTTGCGTGTTTATCTGGACGTGAACGCACGATAAACCATCGCGGTCAGCATTATTGACCGAGCTTAGATCTGCTGAGAATAGGGGCAAAAGAAATTGTTCTTCACATGCCAATTTCTCGTCATCATGGTGGTTTTCTGAAGGCGATGTAGTACCGTTGTGACACATTCAAAACCGATAGGATCATCGCTGTCCGCGAGACTTCAATATATGTGTAGAGCATTACTCATTTCTCTCGAAATTTTCACTCCTGGTCAATGACACAGGAAATGCTCTCGTGCGTTTGTAATAATGTACAGTCTCCTGTCTCTTGATAATCTTGGTATCTCCCAAAGCAGTCCCTGATGCCCAACTCCACTATCCCACCTTGATAACCTGCGACCTCTTGCGTACAAAACCCAACCGTCCCAGATGCCCGTCCAAACTTTGACAGAATCAATGACTCAACTTTGACCTTCGTTTTAGGCAACCCTCCGTCATCGTGATCCATCCGATTCGTGAGTGCCTACGCCAGTTTCCGTTTTCCCGATATATAGGTGTTCCGTGGAGCCGTACCCAGTTTGGCATCGCCCCTATCCCGCATCCGTATGTAGCGAGGACGATGCCGCAACCATTCGCCGTAAAAACAAATCCGACCCCATGTGTCCTGTCCTGTCCAACTGATTCTCGTGCCCACGAGTGAATTTTCCGAATAGCATGTAGCGAAAGAAAGCTTTGGGAACAAAAGTGACAATAGTCCCGACTAGCCCCCTCTATGACCCTGGTAGTCTCTTTCCATTAATGTTCCGTGGTATCGGTATAACGCCGGGGTTTTCGTGTATAGCCGTGCGTGTAGTGAAAAAGGAGATACGAGATACGGCCCGTGATCGAATTATAAGTAACTTTTCAAGAAAGATTTTCTCTGAAGCGTCTGTCGCTAGGCATTATTCCCCGCAATGCTAATGGTGTCTTTCGAATTTTCATTGCATCTTTGGACCCCCCATGCTGTGGTTTCGATGGTTTCATGTACGAAGGCATTGTCATCGCGGTCGTAAGCCAGTTGACATGTGGCTACCTAAGTAGATGATGAACCCATCAGGATGTGCCAAAGACCGTGGGTGATGGGGGCCGTGTGATTAACAAAGCATCGTCGAATATTGAAGGTCGTGAAAGGCACTCTATAACCATCTACTCTCGCTTGAGTGGAGGAGTTCCGTCGTCAGAGTGATCTTGCGAGGAGCGTCGCCCGTTCTCGTTTTGACCATCACCCTCCTTGGAACCACACCCCTTGACTAGACGATGTCTCTGCGATATTGATCAGCTTTTGTTGATACCCTAAAGCAGAAGTTTACAGTGCAAGTGTTTCCTGAGATGTTGATAGCTTACCTTCAAGGCGTCCTTGCGAGAGAAGCTCTTGTCGCAAAAGTTGCAGGGGAAGGGCTTGACTGCGAGGTGAATTCTCTTGTGTCTCTTCAGATCGTGGTTTCGGTTGAAAGACTGTGGGCACTGGTCACACTTGAAAGGCCGTTCGGCTTGTGGGTTGGGCTGCCCCCCGTGGGTGTGGCCGTACATTGATGGTGCAAGATGGTGTGCTCCATAACCGCCGGGGACGCCCATACCGGTGACGAGTGACATTTGGTGCCCGGGAGAAGTAAGATTGGACATGATCGGTCCTCCCATCGATGGGACATGATAACCAGAATAGCGGTAAGAGCCAGGAGGTGCCATCGCGGAAGGGTGTTGGAGGGCGGCAAGTCCTCTCCCGGGGCCCGCTGAAGTTGTCGGAGAGGGAGCGGTGGGCGAGGTGTGGGACTGTTGGTAGCTATTAAACGGCTGCTGGGGGGCAGAGGATGTCGAGTAGTAGCCGGGAGTCGCTGGTGGTCGAGATTGGTAGGAATCAATGTGGGAATGCAGACCGCCGGGCGTTGGAGGTTGCGTCGAGACAGCGCCGTGAGATCCAAGAATGCCACCCTGAGGCATTGGTGGGCCCTGAGACGGCAAACTGGCTGGTGTAGATCCCGCTCCTCCGTGAGAATAAGCCTGAAAGGACTGATGTGTTTGCCCGTACGGTGGTGGAGGAGGACCCTCGCCGGTTGCGGGTGATTGCGAAGTGCGAGAGTAGGACATTGGGGATTGCTGATCGTAGGTGCTTCCGCGGGAGGCATACTGAGAAGTCTGGACGAGCCCCTGAGGCGTCCCAGAGCTAAGCTGGTATGAACTCGAGGGCGTAGGCCATGATCCGTGGCCGTTTCCTCCAGGATAGTAGGAGCTCTGGGAGCTCGTGGTATTGACACCGGAAGAGAGCGGGCTAAGCCCTTCACCTGGCACTCCTGAAGGCGATGTTAGACCAGAGCTGGCGGTTAGAGGAGAATGTTGAGTATTTGAGGCAGCGGAGGAAGAGGAGGGAGCCGACGGCGTAGCCATCGCGGGGGCTTGCCACGATGATGGCGACTGCAGAGGCTGATTGTGAAAGCTGAAGGGGTACTGATGAGAATGTCTACTCATACTCGGTATATCTTGGTTCGTCGACGGAAGATGAAAAGGGGGCAACGCCTGTGTTGCTTGTCTTCGAGCTGTGAAGCTCGAAGAAGTCTCCATTGCCATTTTGGGTGGGGGTTGTGGTGTCTGGAGTTTTGGTGATTTTTCGAATCCTCCTCGTTCTTTCCTGCCACGGGCAAGCTCTTGCTTTTTGGACTATGTGTTTTTTGATCGTTACTGCTGGGCGGACTAATCCAGCAGGCACACTTTTGTCGGTACTTTGTGCCTGACCGGAAGATTGGTGGAGCTGGAGCGGCAGGAGCAGCAGGAGTGGGAGCACAGAGTCTGAGGTGACGTGACTGAGCTACCAACCTTGACGGCAGGGCGCGGCGGATGTCAAGCAAAAGAAGGCACCAGGGTCTCCTTTCCTTCTTCTCTCTCTTCCTCTCCTTCTCTGTACAGCTCGGAAGCAGCTGCTGTTGGCGGATACCGTCCTAGGGATGCGGCGTCGGAGCTGAAAAAAGCTGGAACTTCAACGCGGTGTTTAGGAATGCCACAGACGAGAGGATGCCGCCGCTACTGGATTCGACAACGACGATGACCGGTGACAGTCCAACACGGCGCAATCAGATGTCCAAATCAGGCGGGTGGTGGAATGCCGTGACCTTGGGCTTGGGGGCAGGAATGAGAGAAGAAGGCAAGACAAGACAAGACTAGACAAAGCTGACGAGAGAAGGACTGCTCAGATAGCCAAGGTAGGTAGGTAAGGTGGGATAGGTAGGTAACCAGGAAGGGCAGTGTCAGGTATACAAGTATGGTACTGATAGTCAGGCCCTAGGATGAGGAGAGGAACGCTGCCCTGGGAGTAAGGCTTGATGGAAAAGGTGGATTGGGTTCGGAGTAAATAGATGGCAGGCCCGGCGGACGGGGTCGAAAGGAGGCTTTGTGTGCAGGTTTTTGAGCTATCCTTCCAGCGAGATGTCGAAAGGAGTTATCGTGCGTCGATCACCTTAGTTGCCAGTCCAGTCCCGTCTACCTTGCCAGTGTGGGGAGGCGGCTGTCGAATATATGTAGGTCGTTGATGGTGCGGGACTTGGACTTGGGACACTAGACCAGGTGCGCTTAGGTCAGAGCCAGCCAGCCCTCTAGCTCGGGAGGGCTGAAGGGGGCTTGTGAATGGGTAAGTCCAACACCAAATGCTACCGGAGGACCCTGGGCGCCTCAGCTCCAAGTACCGGGGGCGGGTTATGTGTCTGACAATCCAGGAGAGATGGTCGATGAGGTACGGAGTAGCGCCTGCCCTACAACACGGCCAGAATGGACAGATGGACGCTCGTGTTGAACCGTCTCGTCCTGTCCTGTCTGCTGCTCCTGATTCCCTCTGTTATGCTGCTAGCTGCAATAAGAGTGACTTGTTGGAATGTCTGATGAGCCAAAAGGGAGTAGAGGCGGTCGGTCTCGAGATAGTGTGTGAGAGTGAGAGAAAGAAGCAGGATGAGAGATGTGACAAAAACTCGTGCTTTTCTCTCCTCGTCAGTGTCTTTCCGAAGAGCCTGTCTCTCTCTTCTCTCTGTTGTCTCTGTGCCAGTCCGTACCCGCCCGACATTCGTCGAGTCCCAGCCGGAAGAAGAATCAAGATGCAGGAGAGGAGAGCAGTAGCCAGTCACTCAGTCACTCAGTTTGTCTGTAAGGTAGGTAGGTAGTGAGAAAGTTGAGGTACCTCAAGAAAGTACTGTATGGTCTTTCCCTGCCTTGGAGAAAGGGCAACAGTGGCGTCTTTTGACTGTCCCTCCTCGGGCTTGGGACAACAAGGTCTGGGCGTCGAAGGTCCAAGGCGGAAACACAAGCAGGCTGCCGGGACGGGTGAGCTTGGGGCTCCTGAAGAAGGGGGTGCGGTTGCTCAAAGGTAGCCGCTGGCTGGCTCTCTCGCTGTCTTCTCTATGGAGATTAAAGGTTGATACCTACTTCATTGATGGATGAGCAAGACCGGAGACAGCCTCTCTTGCTGGCGTGGATCAAGTAGGTATCAGGAGCGGGCGAGGCTCCTTGCTTTGGGGAAACACACAGACGAGGAGGTGTGAGGACAAGAAGGGGGAGGAGGGTGTGAGAGAAGATGAGCGGGCAGAGAAACAGAAAGGTCCTCGATCCAGGGGCGTGGGTGTGGTCGTAGGCCTAGAAGCCCGAGCTGGATTGGGAATGGCGATTGGGAGTGAGAAGTCGTGTGTGTTCCAGCCAGGTCTGTCATCGTTCAGTTGGCCATTTCAACGAGGTTAGGGGGTGGGGAGCAGAGGAGGAGAGGAGAGGTAGGGGGGGCCAACCTGCCAGCCGGAAAAGAAACGATGAAAGAAGCAATTGGCGGCGTGAGCGAAGGAGAGACGAAGGACGATGTAGGTATGCCTTGGAGATGTTTCCAGGTACCAAGTAGCCAGGGCGGGAGAGGCAGTGAAATTGAGAGACAGAGCCCCGAGACGGAGAGACAGAAACCAGAGAGACGCTGGACGACTGAAGTGAATGAGGGCGATAAACTGAAAGAGGACGAGATACAGAGAAACGGGGAGGCTACTGGGCTAGAGGCTGGAACCCTGTCTGGCTCCGTCTCTCTGTCTGGTTCTTACTCCGTTGCTGCGCAGGTGAGAGTCCCCAAACCGCACTCCATCCCATCCTATCCCATCCCCATCCTTGTACCAGCACCAGACACTTGGGTCCCGTATTCCTTGCCCCCTGAGATTGGCTTCTTTCCAAGTCGAGCAACAACGAGTCGCATGTGCTTTTCTTGCCCTGCCCGCTTGCTTGCTGACATCTGCTTCTGGTCCTTGCTCACCCACACCCCATCCCGCAGCGGGCCAGATTAAGGATAGCGAGGTTAGTCTCTTTTGTCCAAGCGACGTAATGCTTGGACCCGTCCTTTCAAGACGAAATGCTTCAGCCAAACCTTTCTCGTTCTTACCCTCTCCCCCGGGAACCGCTAGACTTGGGATGATCTGCTGGAGATTGGCACTGACGTCGGCCTTGCGGGACGAACCCACGGTTCGCAGAATCGCGACGACGTCGCGTTCGTTTGGTCAGGAATCGCGATGCTCATCCAAACGTTATGTCGCTCGCCAGAAGTGTTCTTGATCTCGGCAGGGAGACTCCCCTCCACTCTATCTGCCGGGTGACCTGTCCCTTTTGCGCAGCTTGCGCAGGAGCAATGAAATGCGCGGTAGCTGTACCCTCGTGCCGAGTTGTGAGTTGGTGAGAGCTGGGGGAAATGCCCGTCAGCTACGGTCAGGACTCAGCACAACCCACCCTGTTATTGCTGTTCCGGCGGACCTCCTCCAGCTTATTCGCACTTTGGGCCCATGTTATTACAAGGCTCCACCCTGAGCTATTGTCCCCGGGCGCGCGACCATCCAAGAGGAGCGTGGTGTCGTGTCTGCGCGGGTTCGCCAGAGTATAGTACGGTACGTATGTGCTTTTCTGCTTCGAACAAGGGTAGAGTCAGCCCAGTCCAGTGTTGGGTCGGGTCGGGTGTGTACGAATAGCGTGCGTCCGTCTGTCTGTCTGTCTTCCTCTTTCTCTCTCTCTCTCTCTCTCTCTCTCTCTCTCTCTCTCTCTCTCTCTCTCTCTCTCTCTCTCTCTCTCTCTCTCTCTCTCTCTGTCTCTTTGGGGTGAAAGAGCTCGGACACCGCTAGGGGGTGTGGTTCGAGTACTCGAGACTGTGTGCTCGCTCATCTTTCTCGGGGCTAGCCCAAACCCTGGTCCTGCATCAGCTCAACCCTTTTATTCCCTCCACCAGAATACCACTTGAGATCAGTGGTTGATGCTCGCCTCCAACAGATGCCTATCTGTACTGCGGCGTTGCTCTCCCGTTAGCATCCCTCTGCCCTCCCCCCTTCCCACCCTCAGGATTCATGCAATGCTTACTGGTTCCCGACTGAATGAATGAGCATTTCTTTGTGTGTGTGTGTGTGTGTGTGTGTGTGTGTGTGTGCGCGCGCGCGCGCATACTTAGCTTAATAGCGTGTTACCCGATGAGGGCCATCTTGGCGGCAAGTTGAGACTCCAGATGCTTGTCCGCCACGATCTCGACGACTTATCGATGGGCTACAACCACATATGCGAAGCCCCCCGTGAGCCCCCACCACTAGAAGAGACGGTATGAATTGACATGACGGACGATGAACCTTGCTGCGCTTGGCATGGTGAACGCCCAGGCACGTCTTCAAAATGCCATCTGTGCCTCTTGCAGATGGCCACGAAGGGGCCCCCGGGGAAGGACGCCGTTGAGACGCGGTTATGGAGTCTGGGACGCTGAAGATCGTCCGTGCGGCTGGGACCAACGTGAGATGATCATCCAAACTCTGGTGCTCGGATGTACGAATGTGCTTTACTTGTTGGTGGTCCAGTGTTCCCTCCAGTTTCGACATCGCAGTCCAATGGCTTGCTTGCTCGTGGTAGGTATTCAGGGCGCGCGACGTGAGGGTGAAGTCTCCCTTTCATCCATTTGCAGAGAGGGAAGGGGGGCAGGTCATGGAGGGCTTCGTACCTGATGATCTATTATCTGCTGGGTTTCAACGAGTATCTCGTACAGGCCCATCGCTCCTGGGGACTAGTCTCCATGATGGAGGAAGCTTGCGCACACAGTTCAGTAGCAGGACATTCCGACTGGTCAAATGTGTTCGTGCCGTGTGACAACCCCCCATATATCTCCATTACAGGCAATCCCAGCCCAGGCCTAAGTGACCTGACCTACCAATACCTGGGAGGTGTCTACAGACACTTAATTATTGACGAGCACCGAGCAGACCGGCACGGAAGATGATATGGGTCTTGTCAGAGACTCCGTATCTGTGAGTCCGTATCCGTACCTTGGATGAAGCCGTGGTCACTCAAATCCCCCGCCAACGTGCCGGGGATGAACTCTAGCAACAACCCTGTCCAAGAACATCCTTGCCTCGAGCCCCCGGCTCTGTGCCAAACATATCAGAATCTCTCAGGGCGCTCGCGCCAGGGTACCGGGCTTGTTTGCCAACACTGCCTGCCCAGTGCCCACCCGTTGTGCCGCGCAGAGAAATAAAGCCGGATCGCTGTCCGTTTAGTTTTTGATGGTTTGCTCACCCAAGTTCGCCGTTCCCAAGAGTCGAAAATGATCCACAGTTCCGTTCCTGATCGAGAGCTCGGACAATTCTTACAAGCCCCCAGTCCGGCACGGTGCCATCTGATCTGGGCGCAAGGGCTCGTGGCCATGTACATGCGTCCATGACAGGTTGTCAAGCCCGTTCACCCGCTGCGGGCTGCAACTTTTTCAATCTTTGCACCGCGATGACACGACGCGCGATGTGCTCTATGCACCCGCCGCGTGTGATATAGGGTCCAAGTTGCGCAGTAGTCTCTCATGTGCTGCTTGGAGTCTGTATCCGTACCGTACCCAGTTGAGGAACCAGGTAGCTATGAATATCTCTTCAACGACTGCCGATTGGCACAGACGCTGTCTTCATTTGCCAAAATGGGAAAAAGAAAGAGATCGGATACCAGAGGTAGGCTGAGCTGTGGGATTGTCGGTCTAGACTTTCGGTCACAATCCTTACAACCTCACCACTTCCTTACTTCTTTTTTTTATCGATGATTTTTTTCCCGACATTCGTTGCCTGCCGCCAAATTTGCTCGAGCTTGTCTCGCCCACACGCAACTGATGTCATATGCTGGTTATTGGTTGCTGTACTGTGCTGCACTGGGCCAGGCTGTTGTCTCCCTGTCTGCCCTGGGACCCGGGATGCATCGAGCTTCTCTCCCAGAACGTGGTCGTCGCTTGTCTGTCGAAATTTCTTGTTCTTTTTCCTTTCGACTTGGCTACCTAGGTCAATTCGTCGATTTCTCTGAGCCAGAGGGTGACCGCCCATTGCCTCCCAGACCGCCACACCCCTCAGCTGAAGCCCTTCACTGCAACACTTTCGAAGGTGCGAGTGCTGCGCTCCATTTGCTGCGTCCAGGGATCTCCTTGCACTGGGTCCAGCCGTGTCTCGCTCCGCTAGCCTCTCTTCCAGGTGCATTCACTAGCCGATTGCTAAGTGCACCACTACTGCATGGTCCGGCTGCATGGGAACGCATACAGCTTAGCATTTTAAAGGATATGCCACGGTGCCACGATGCCAGCGGAAGGGGTGGCAGCGTCTCTGCGCGTCTGTGACTGCTGTGGAGGGCATGGCAGGGCAAGACCTCACCTCGTTGTGCCAGCCGAGAATGGGATTCTATCGAGATGCTTTCGTTCCGAGCAAACCTGTGTGATGGTCTTGTTTTGAAGATACCTACGACGCATCACGCACTCCACTAGGAAGCGTCTCGAGAACAAAGAAGGAGGTTGCGTAAGCGGTCCATTCGATGCATGCTTCGGGCCTGAACCAACCGACAGTCCATACCTTAACTGTGCCGCGGTCGGTCTGAAAGCGAGTTGACCAGTCACCAGCCAGGGCTCGAGGCTCAGATTATGCCTGCAGCCCGTTGCCCAGTATGCAGGGGTTGCTCCTCAGGTCGTTGTGGTTGTGTTCTTTGATGCAGGAGTCGCTCTTCCGAGACCATTTGGTTGAGGACGATGTTGCTAATCTCTTCCAGGTCTTTCCTCGTGCTTGAGCATCATCCGGCGCGCTGTATGCCATCATCTCGCATGCCCCATTAGAAGCTATAAAACCTCGTCGATGTTACCATAGATCCAAGGCGGGAGGCGTCAACATCTCACTGTCATCGGGATTCTCACTCGTCCTAGTCTTCCGCGCGCGCGCCGTGGCGCCAGTGGGTTGTGCAAGGCAGGCTCATGCATTATCCCTGGACCAACTTCCCAGTCGCACTGCTCTCCCAGACGGGAGGGAAACGGGGGTTGCATGTGCAGGGTGTGTCAGTTCCGCACTGGGGCTGCCACGGCGCCGCGTGCTTTTCACGCTTTCCTCTCACCCTCCCCATGCTCAACTCCCCACGTCTAGTCGAGCTAGTAGATTATCAACCATTACAAGTCGCGTATTCGAAGTCTAGTCCTAAACCGTACTAAGTCTTGAGCCGGACTATGGCCTTGACTTTATTCGGGAATTTTTGACGAGACGTGAGAATTGCCTGCTAGGCATCCTCATATTAGGTTGTGTATCCGTACTCCGTACATGCGAAGATCAACGCGAAAGCCGGCGCTGGTTGAACTTCAATTTAATCGCGTCTTCAAAGCCGATATTGCAGTCCATATAATCTGTATTGTTTCCAATTTTAGCGTGATGCTGATGTTGACTGATCCTGGGAATCCTTCTACCTACAAGGAACGAACCATCTTGCTACGTCGGTCTGGTGCCCCATCCTGTGTAACCCAGACTCGGATGCCAGTTGGACAGAATGCTGAACGGGATGGACGGGCGAGATGACCAATGAGGCCAAAGCCGCGCTTCATCTTCCGCACATTATCGTCGATAGGTCACCCGAACCCGCAAGACTCTGTTCTGTTCTGTGCAAAGCTGAAGGTTGGGCACGAACGGGTTCCCGGCGAGATGCAAAAATTGCTGTTTACGCTAGCTAGCTCCCATCTGCGATTTCCGAAAAGCCTGTTGTCGCATCAAGGATATCGGAAGGCGGAGTTCCATGATCTGATGCCATCATTTGACGCCAACGCGTCGAGCCTGAAACACTGCCTTTGGTGGGTTCTATGCAGATCGACAAGGCTGCAAAGCCATACTGACAGCTTCCTGGCCGTCGTAGCTCAAGAGGTAGGGTTTCGTTTCTCATTAAAGAGCCACACCATCTCTGAGACCAAGCTGATCGCTATGACCGTGAGCCTTGAGGCTAATGATCCCTATCACTTTCGCGGTGTACTAGTCTGCGGAATCCATCCGCCACCAGCCGCTCCGCGATGGGCGCCGCGTCCAAGAGGTCTGTTTTCTCGCTTGGAGTAGTACCTAGTGTGCCAGGTCGATGAGCCAGCCCCTTATCCCGCGAGAGTTTACTTTGGCTGAGCTTCCAAGAGCTGCTTGGAAGTACCTTCTAGCTGATGCCTCACCGCTCCACGGTGGTCGAGAAACGAAAAGAAAATGTGAGACCTGTGGCAGTCGCCTTCGATATAGCAATTGGGTAGCCCGAAGCCTTCGAAGCTGTCGAATTCTTCGTTTTCTGAAAGTAGGCAAAAGTGGTTTGGGATGATGTGCAGGTCTGCGGGACAGCATCTAGAAATTCGAATGGTGATTGCTCGGACCAGTCTCTCGGATCGACTTGTCAGCCGGTAACCTCGAACAGACGGCGTATTCGGGAATGAAGCGGGAAATTGAGACTTGCGTCGCTCACCCGACTAATCTGCAACGGGCGTTGTGATATGCTATGGGTCTTTCAGGCGCTGAGTGTTGGTCGTCCAAGGCGCAGAGATTTAGGTACTCCGTAGACCAAGGCTGCGATCCATATGACCTGGATTTTGGTAAAAACTCGTGACGGCTACGAAACCAGTTTCATGGTCTCGATCCTTTGTGTGTTTTCGACTGCTACTGAGAGGCGTCTGTACAACAGGTGCTACATCGTAGAAACGAGGACACCCAAGCGGGCGTGATTTAGACGCTTCAACTCGGGCGTGGGCGTATCCAATTGAAGGGTTAGACCCTGGCAGAGGTGCCATTGACCTGTAGGCAACCACCCATCAAGGATACGGACGTATGGCGGTTCCCAGCTGCCACGGACAGGGGATGCCATGAGAGGGTTTCCGACCTTTCGGGCACCCATTGAATCGTTCTCGTTTGGTTCTTGTATCCGTACATATGAATACTGTGTATAGGACGTTTCATTTCCCCTGCGTGTCGACGCGCATAGAAAACTGGCTGATGGGAGATATGGACGCTTGTTGACAACTAGAAGTGTTTTCTGGTATGACAGACAGCCGTTCAGGCTGTTTTCGGCCGCAACAAAGAGAGAGTTGAACAGCGGGGCATGTAGGTAGGTAGTTTCTCACACAGAAGTTTCCTGCAGAGTGGCAGGCCCCAGACGCAGAATAAGATGCGGCGCCTGGGAGGCGGTTCGGCTTCGCGGGTGGAGGATCAACGCCACCAAGGACGCCCGATAGACCGTGCCCAAGGATGGCGTTTTTCAGGGGTCAAACGGGATGGCTTCTGGGCTAGCTCCGTGACAACCTGGTTGAGCGGCATTCGTCTGAATAATAGCCAGTGGAAAGGCAAGGCCGTGGCCGGATGGCAGAAGCGAGTGGGTTGGTATCGGAAGCAGGATGCAGACTAGGTCAGCACGCGAGGTGTGATTCGTGATAGGACGTAGCCTGCGTTACCGGAAAGCCGGGGGTCTCGACCGGGCTGGCAAAAGACGATGGGCAAGGTGGTGTACAGCTGGTAGCTTGGAATAGCAGCTGCAATATTTGCTGCGAGTTATCGGCGAGTGCGACAGATCAGGGCCGTCGGGTAGTGGCAGGTGATTACTGGTTGAGCGGCGGACTTCTTTCAGCTGCAGCAAGTCGTGACGCTTGACCAGACCCGGGCGGGACGGACGAGATCGGGAACGATATTGTCATATTGAACGTCTGAGATCTTGGCGCGCAGTATCCGTAATAAGTCAACAGACGGACAACCTGACTGCCATGAGAGTTGATTCGTGATAGAGGGCTGACTAACCCCTCCCCGGACAAATTATGGCGTGGAGTAATACACAGTAGTGCGTGTAGTATTAGCTAGCCGAGGCGGAGGCGGTTCTTTGAGAACGAGGTTCCCAACTTCCTGCTGGGTGTCGCATGGATGTGGTGGCCAGTCGATGCGTCTCACAAAGTGGAGGGCAGAACAAGCTCAAGAATGATCGTGGGAGGCTTGATAGAGTTGAGTTGGGGGCGATTGAAAGCCAGACTTGCCAGGGTACACTATCCAGGCGGATGGAATCGAGATCCGAGAGTTTGGTCGAGGCTGCAACGGTCAACAAGCCATTGATGCAAATGTGCCATCATGTTGGAGGTGGTTCAACCCAGGAGGCGTTTACGCCGCCGATGAGGCACAGGCAGGGAGGTGAAAAAAAAACAGAACAAGTCGCGCCTCGAGCAACTGTTTGACGAAGGTCGAGGCCAACCTGAACATACGGAGTAGTGGTCTGCAAGCATGGGCAGCAGCGCCCAGAATGGCAGCGTGCAGGGGAAGGAGACAATCCTCGTCCTCCAACTTCCTCAGTTTGTCCCATTGGACGGGTTTGTACCCGTCTTACATAAGGTACGGAGTGCTAAGTATCTACTTCGTACCCAACGGATGGAAGCAAGCACGGAAGGCACCACTCAGTGCCCACTGCCACACCAAAGGCTGTAATGTAAGTAAGTGGAGAGCCAAAGGTGGAAGGGGCCATGGGCGTGCTTGTGGGGCATTCCAGACGAACCAGGAGTCATGGCTTCAACTCTAAATCCGAGCATGGGAAATCCCGGCCCACTCCCGGTCCAGCAACACCTGTGACAGGAGCTCCTTCTTTGATCTTTCACGGGTAACCTGGCGCCATGTCTGGGGCAAGCAAAGCCCTCCTCCATGTCTCCTCACCTTGGCTTCCATCATGTTTGTTTGCGTTTCCTCTCTGTCTTTCTCTCTATCTTCCCCTTCCATCACTAATTCACCATACTCACCACAAGCATCCGTAATTATCTCATTGAACAAAAAAGGACGCCAACCTCCTCAAACGCACAAACCTCCAGCTTATATGACCCAGTACGCCGTACTGATGCTGGGCGATTTGGCATTTGCGGACAACCACTTCACAGAGACCTTTTACATGGCAAAGCTGCCACCATCTCAGGGTCCGGTCCCGGCCACCCGAATCCTTCGCCCACTTCAACCAATGTCTACCCGTACTTGTTGCGTTTTAACTGATGATCCATAGCCTAGTACCGTTTTTTCACCCGCGCCTTTCTGACCTTCCAAAGGGGACGCCCGCACCAGGAGTAAATAGCCCATTGCCCGAGGCCCCCCCGCTTCTCGCTCCCCGTCGTACCTTACCAAGAGAGGCTACCGTTAGGCCGGACTAAATAGGTCTTCTTGCCTTAGATAGAAAAGAGGTGGTTCTGACATTAGGCTGTCACTTTCCGGAGAGCAGACACTGAAGCAAGCCACTCGACCCGAGCCATTGGACCCCTCGAGGATCCGACGCCTCTTGACGCCCCGTGCTGCGGCGGCCGCCTGCCATCTCATCTTGAGGTTGCACCTTTCCCGGGCCAACTCCGCTAGTGACCCAGCTGTCGGGTTGAGTGGGCGCCTCAGGCATAACGCAATGCATCACGGGCTTCCTCGCCTACCATATGGTAACCAACGACTAACAACAACCTTACCTTACAGGAACTATCCGTGGATCGTTTGCTTTCATCAAACTTGGCCCAACGCAGCAACGGCATTTCCCTTTTACACTCCACCAGACTACCCAAACCGCTCCGCCAGCTTCGCCTTGATCCACCCCATCCCGTCTGTCATCGCCCATTCCAGGTCTCTCAGGCCGCCCGTACATGTTTCGACCTCGTTCAATCCCTTTAGGACCAACGAGCTAACGTCCCTTGCTTTGCCCTGATTGTCTGGCCCATCAAAGACTATCTACTTTACCTTCCCGTGCCTGTCCATCGGAGAATTACCCAATGCGGATTTCAACTGCTCACACCTCTCCCTTGTTGCCCTAATCACAATCGCCTCTCTGACGATGCTATTCAACACTATCATATCCATTCGTGCCAGTCACCAAGTGTATAATGGCATGGTCAACTCTACCACATACGTCGACAATAGTCTCTGAAAGCGAGAGGTCCTCGTTGTATCTCAAGTGGTCTGCACCATGGTACACAGAGAAAATGAGAGACAAATTAGACGCAAGCTTCGCACGAGCGCCACCAACCCAACGGCGCTGCCGCCGCAATCGTGGCAGCCGTCAGACCTCAAACCTACTTTGTTGCGCCGCAAATCTGGCGATTCCCTATGAAATGCGCCCGAAAAATTCGATGCAGCTAAGATGGCATTACTACCCTTCAGCCCTATTTGCCTCCAATCTGCCCTGTCGAAGTTTATTGCCAAGGACCTCAGCCACGGCTTTCCCGTGCGAACCAGTCTGGCGAATATGCTCTATGCGACTTTTCCACTCATAACGTTGCCTCAATTTCAGCATGGAATAAGAGAGATTTGAACACCCAGAGCTTTCCTCAACTATTCTCTACCACGGCCAGTCTTTGCAGGTATCAGGCTCGTCACGAACGAGCAATCTTGGGCTTGGAGCAATGTGTCTCTGGCATGGCAGCCTCTCACATGGACTCTACAAGGTGGTTTCATCACCGAATTGTCAGAATGCTCCCCTAGCTTGTGATCGTCTAGTCAAAAGATAGAAAATAGGTCAATATTCTTTGCTTGGCTAGGGATCCTACACTGCTACAGTTACCTTGACTCCACCCAGCATGATTTATCGAATTAATGAGCTTGCAAGTAACTGTAGGATCGACCACGTTGCTACCTTTTACGTGATTTTTTTGACTTGACTCTCGTCCTTGTTACAAGCCCCCAATTTCTATCTAGCTTTATGTCTATCCATGTCTGTCGATGCCTTCACTTGTAAACGTTCGTCGGACCATCCTGTCACAGAGACGCAGGTCAACGGAGGCTTCCACTCGCCAACCCGGTCTCTCATCTTGAGACCTCACGTTACCCGGAATGCTATGCTTAATCTTCAGAGTCTACTTCGAAATGCTTCGAAATGCTTCGCCCTGTATACACGACTGTCTACCAAGTCGGTGAAGTATCCCTCCCATTCCATCTTTCTAACAAAGTCATCTGGCTCTTGACCTTGCATGACACAACAGCCCACCTTTCGAATGAGACAACACCATCATGCCTGAAACTCTGTAGGATATACTCATCTAAGCCGCCTATTATTATCAAGCAGCTGAACGCAGCTCTCATAAGTCTCACTGCGCCTTACCCCCTTAGGGTCTCTCGATAACCATCCAGACTCAAGGAAGCTCAACCTCTTGAAACCTGAGAACCTGGCGGATAAGCATACCTTCATGGCAATTCTATACACTATTTACTTTTGATCCCTTTGCTACCCGGGGTGGTGTTTTGATTCTACTGTCACAGTATGCGCCTCGCGGTCTCGAGCCTCTGGTCCGCCCCCTTCCAGACGAGATGCTTGATCCGCTTGAACATCCATACTTTGGACTTTTGGCCTGCCCTTTGACGCTATTGCTCAAAATCTTTTACGCAGGGAAGTTATTTTTGCCTCGTCAAGGACACGTGCATCT